ATTTATTTTTTTTGCGGTAACCATAATGGTGGTCGAGTAGATCATGTTCTGGGGGTGGAGAACCCTCACTCCGCGCGCAAGGGGGATGATCGCACCACGTTGTGTTAAAATGGTCAAGCACCCTCGAGGCAGTTACACAGTGCTTACAACTGTCTCTGGAAGTGTAAGCACCAGAAAATAAATTAATTCATACGCAGCTGTCATCCGTACGCAAGGAAGTAAGCACAAGATGCCGAAAACCCTTAGCAGGATGCAGCGCACCCTTCATGCGACTCGCCGAATATCTCACGGCGCTTCGCGCTTGGTGATGTGAGAGCCTGGTCCGGTGAGAACCCGGCGTGCTCCGTCCCGGCTTTGTACGGATGCGAGGTCAATGGTCTAACGACTACGGCATGCACGACTATGAGTACACCCCCTCTCCTCCGCACTCCCCTCTCTTGAACTAACTGAGCATCCTGTCTCTCCCCTCTCCCGTGGCATCTCTTTCCCCTTATATCTCCAACAAACCCCTCGTGGTCACGCGGCGGACATTAACGTAACCTTCGCCACCAACGACTCCCTGATGCCTTCCGGGGGGTACGCAGATCGGGGCGAGCAACGGCGCGAGCGACTACGGCAACAAGTTCGGAGAGCCTGTTGTGCACGGCTTCACAAGGTCGTTCGGGCAGAGGCTGCCCGGGGGGGAACGCTGCGAGTGAGTCTGGCCCGTTGGTTGTTTTTTCCCTTTCCGCTGTTGTTCTAGAAACCGCGGTGTTTCGTTTGTTCTTTCGCGCCGGCGGCGGATTCTTTTTTTGTGTGTGTTTTTTAAGAGATACATACAATCACAGGTATATGTTTTCCCGATTTTGGGTGATTTTTAGGAAATATTAAATCACAGAAATATCACCTGTTCGGGATAGTACCACAGTCGAAGGGGGTGTGTTGAAGTCGTAGACTTTGCAGTGAGTGGGAGGGAAGCCGGCCGTGATTTGGTTTGGGCTTCGCTTCTCCCCTCCACACCTTTGGGAACACCTGGGGGCATTTTGTCACCAGAGATGGTTTTAGGCGCCCCACGAGGAGTTCTCGAAAAGGACACGACGGGTTTCTTCATGCATCAGGCTACAATCAGCCGTCATTTTTTGTGTCCAGTGAGGCAAAGTACCGCAGTAGGGGTGGGTAGGGGGCCCCAGGGAGAAGTACCCCTCTGTGTGACCACGGGTTGGACTAAACGGCACGCGTGCTGTGAGCACTGCTTTGAAGTGAAGACCAAAAAAGAAGAAAATATAGTTCTCGAAAGGACATTCCGGTAGTACGTGTACCAAACTGCAATCAGCCGTCGTTTTTGGCGGCCGTGCTCTCGTGCGGACTCACAGCAGTTTTTACGCTAAGGTGTGTGTGGTCCATGCCGTGGGTGACATGATATCAGATACCATACACCCTGGACCAATTTTCAAAGCTCGAGTACTCTGCGGCGAAAACACAAGCGGTGCTGAAAAAGGCGGCGTTGTACCCATCTCGTCGAGAGATTTCCGATGAAGTATCACTTGATTTTTGCGTCCTCTTCGTCGTGGAGTATTCGAGCTTTTGCAAATCGGTGTCCAAGGGGTGTGGTATCCTATGCAACCTGCGGGATTCCGGCGCGCTCGCCGTTCAAAAACCAACGCCAGATACGTGAGATGTTCAGCTCGTAACGCCAAGGTTTGTGTGACCACATTGTGACGTGCTTGCTGTTCCGAAACCAATGGCAGATACGTGAAGCCCATCATGTTCAGCGCCGGCATCGGTCAGATGGACGCCGTGCACGCGGACAAGGGGGACCCCGAAGTCGGGATGTGGGTCGTCAAGGTAAGAGGTATTGCCTGTTGTTGTTGTTGTTGTTGTTGTCGTTGTTGTTGTCGTTGTTGTTGTCGTTGTTGTTGTTGTTCTGGTGTTTTTGTTGTTGTCCTGCAGAGTTGTTTCAAGACGCCGCAATATGTTTTTGAAATTCTTCGTGGTAGGCTATCCTGTTGACGTTCATTTTTCCTACTTCGCTCCGGATATCAGTCGTGTAGCCCACATACCGCATCGAAACGAGCAGTGAAACGAGCTCCCACCTGCACGCGACTGGAGAATGAATTCATGTGTGGAACATGGCCTTGTGTACGCATGCATCCATGCGCACTTGGGGATGGGTGTCAGGTGGGAGGACCAGCCTACCGTATCGGACTTGGCGGAGGTGCCGCGTCGTCTAGGGTAGGGGATGCGAAGACCTCCTCCCTCGATTTCGACGCCGTGCAGAGGGGCGACGCAGAGATGGAAAACCGCCTCAACAGGCTCATGAGGGCGTGTGTCGAGCTGGGGGACGACAACCCCATCATCTCCATCCACGACCAGGTGTGTGGGCGTGTGTCTGATGCTGTGGTTGGTTGCGAGTGTCAATGGGCGTCGGGCGTTGTGGTCGTGAGTGTCGGGGTATTGGTTACTGTGGTTGCAAGTGTCAAGCGGGGTTGTGCTGGCGGTCGTGCCGTTGTTAATTTGCGATCGTATTGTCCGCATACCCTACAGTGTCCGCACGGCGCCCTTCCCGTCGTAACGTAGCCGAGTAGGAGGGGGAAAGAGGGGGGGGGGAAGTTTGTGTGGGTTCCCGTTGTAGTTTGTTTTACTCGCTGACACAGCTGCTGTTACTGCTGCTGCCATTTATGCTGCTGCCCCTGCCGCCATTGCTGCTACTGCCGCTGCCGCTGCTACCGCTGCTGCCGTGTGAATTCGGTACGTCCCTCTTCAGGGCGCTGGAGGAAACGGGAACGTGCTCAAGGAGATCGTCGACCCGGCCGGCGCGACCTACGACATACGCAAGGTGTGGAACGGGTGTCGGCCACGTGTGTGCTTGCTCGCTCGCCCTCGACTTTCTGGCTGCTCCCACTGCCGTCCACGGGCTCACTCGTTTGCACAAACCCGGAAGAACGGTCTGTCCGGGTATCTTATTCCTTATTTCGCCCTTCGCATACCCTGCTCTGCGTCCCTTTTGGTGTTGACTTGATGGAGGAGACATCGGGGATAGACAGTGCCCGTAGCGGTAGATGGATTCGTTATGTGGCATCGCCAGCGAACAGATTTTTGGTCCCGGCCTGTGTGTGCAAAGCCGGAGGGACCAAGTGAAGTGGTGTGGCCTGCTTGTATCTGGATTGGCCTGTTCACTTTTGGGGACGGGAGGTTTGGTTCATCGGTCGGTCTTTCATTTCCCTTTGTCATATCTCCATAGTTTTATACTGCAAACAACTGCGGGTAAAAGTCGAGGATGATCCAAAAAATGAGACATGTGGACAATTCTGTCACTCAGGGCCCCCGGTGATGTGGTGGATGAGAGCCAGCCAAGCCTCCACCCATACCACTTACTTCTTGCGAATTTGAACACGTGCTTTTGTTGTCTTGTTTTTTCCGTTTGGAGGTGGTACACGTCGGAGACGATTTTTTTTTACGTTTAAGTTACTATTTCCGTCATTCCCAGGCGCACACGTCCAATTAGTTGCGTCCATTTTTTTTTTTATTTTGTGTTTGTTTGTTTGCCGTTTTCGAGGTGCACGTCGGAGACGACACCATGTCCGTGCTCGAGATCTGGGGGGCCGAGTACCAGGAGAACAACGCCCTCCTGATCAAGCCGGAGAGCGCCGAGACGTTCCTCGCCATGGCCAAGAGGGAGAACTGTCCGGCGTCGCTCCTGGGCAAGGTGTCCGGGGACGGGAAGGTGACCGTCAAGGACTCCCGCGACGGCAGCGTGCCGTACGACCTGCCCCTCAAGGTGGGTGTGTCAGTAGTGTACACAGTTTTTTTTCCGAGTGAGCAAACATGCTGGATAAAGTATTGGATCGGCAAATTTGGGGGTTGGCAGTCCCAGTAGTATACGCAGGTTGTTGTAAGGAAAAAAACATGCTGGACAAAGTATTGAATCGGCAAGTTGGGGTTGGGGTTGGCAGTCCTAGCATCTACACCGGTCTTTCTAGGTACGCAATCATAGTGGACAAGGTATCGAATCGACTACGTTGGGATTGGGGTCTGTTACCGTCTGCGTGGCCCCATCCTGTTCCTTCGCAATAAACTTGCTTTTCTCTGCGCATGTGTGGTATCGCGGACGAGCAATGCCATAGGCTTTTCTTTCGTATGTCGTATAGGCAAAGATCGTGCTTATTCGTCGTCATCAATAAAGAGTCTTCGTGCCGCGCGCTGCGGGACGGCCGACTTTTCTCACACACCCCCCTTTGTACACGTCACGTCGCCTCTTACCGCCGATGAGCAGGCCGTGGTACAGTGGGGGCTACGATCTAAGAGAGGGGCGTGCATGGCCGAGGAGACTCTCTCCTCTCTCAAACACGACCTTCTCTTTATCCGATTTAAGAGAGTTGTTCTCTTGAACGGGGATTTCGGTTTAAGACAAAACCTCCCTTAAACTCATTATATGGCAATACTAACAGGGACTAGCCTGATCGAAGTGATGATTTTATGATTTTTTTTTTTTTTGTGATGCATTATACTTTCGTTCGTTATAGGCCCTTGCCCAGCGTGATTACCCCTTATTGTTGTGTACGAAGCACAACAACACAGCAGCAGTAGCAAACATGCAGCAGAGTAGCAAGTACTAGATGTAAGTCCATGGTCTCCAAGGTGTATAAATTGCAGTGTATTCCGGCATGGGTGGTTTTTAAACAGCCGGGGGGGGGGGGCGTACTCTTATGTTTTGCACGCCTTAGCGGTTAGACCATTGACCACGCGTCCTCGAGAAGACGGAGCATTGTTCCCACAGGACCGATCACCGATGGCCGATCGTTTTCCTTCCTACTTTGCCAAGGATGTGGCTCACAAATAATGTCGAACTATCCTATCGATATCACTTCCCGCCTTTCAACTCACTTCCTATGCGTGTGCCCCGTAACAGCCCCGCCTTCTCCTGGTTACTCCATGCCTCAAACATCTCCCTGTAATCCCTTCTACGTTCCCTCCCATAGCTCAGTCATGTACACCTACCTCCCTCTCCTTGTACAACGGACATTCATTCCGCAAGGACTGACCCCGGTCTTCGCGGCAATCAAATTTGAAGTTATCTTGTCGCCTTCATCGTCTACCTTCTCCCTGAATCTTCGTCTACGTTCTCGAAGGCCAATGTCCCCGGTCCTGAATTTTACCTTCAGCTTTGGCCGTATCCATTTGGTCCATGTAGGTGCTCCTTGAACTCTATTCCTGCTTTCAACATTCCGTCTAGACCCTCATTATCCTTTGTTTGGTGGCCCCCACGGTACTTTGTATGCACCACAAGTGACAAGGCCACCTTGGTTTTTCGATCCGTTTCGGCCCTTTTTTTTGTCGTTTTTCATGTTTTATACTTGAAATATATCTATGCATGCTTCATCCTCGCCCTCCTCCAAGAGTTTGAAACATGCATCCCCCACCCCTGGGTTGCTCCTTATTATCACTCCCCGTCAACATGTTTCTCTCGCAGGAAGTCCTCGGCGACCTGCCTCAGAAGACCTTCACCGACGTATCCGTGCCCATGAAGAGCTCCCCGCTAGACGTGCCGCTGGCTCCGCCCGCACCGGCAGCAGGGAACGGCGGCAAGGGTAACCCCGCCGCCATGGGCGCACTCGACCGCGTGCTGAGGCTGCTGCAGGTCGGCTCGAAGAGGTTCCTGACCAACAAGGTGAGGGAACCTTTTGGCTCTCTATTTAGTCCGCCGCGGTATGTGCCACCGTCGTGTGGTTCTTTTGAGGTGCGGCTGTACACTGAAATATTTTTTTCATCGTGCCGCTATCGTTCTTTTTTTTTATGTCGTACTACAGTACACATACCCTTTTTTTTTCCTAAACTCGTTGTATTACACCGCACGCCTCCGTCCTATGGCGGAGATCCGCGCCGTTACGGTACACATCGTGCAAAAGGCGCACTAGCGAGATGAGGAAAAGCGCCTCCACGTAATGAGATTCGCCAGTGTAGCGGAAAACCGTCGCCCTTTTCAGTCTTGATTCCTCGACCTGATCCACTTCCCGTTGCTGCAACGACGTATCGATGGTATGTACCGCACACACCCATGGCGGGTTTCGACACCATCCGAGGAAATGGAAAACCCACGAAAAAGCTCTCCCCGGCGTGGTGTTTCTTTCCCGAAATGATGTGGCCCAATCGTTTCCGCCCCACGGGTCGTTAGCTGTCAGCTACACGCCAAGTACGTAGGGCGGGGGGACTGAACCCTCCGCAACATTGGTTCGTTTGATTCTTGAACATAGTATCATGCGCAAAAACTGGTTCGATTGATAAGCTGAGCATTAAGCCATCCGATACCGAGTATCACGCGATGTCATGGTCACGCTAAGCACGCACCACTGCTGTACCACGGCTTACGTCGGGCAGGTGGACCGATCGGTGACCGGTCTCGTCGCCCAGCAGCAGTGCGTCGGCCCCCTGCAGACCCCGCTCGCCGACTGCGGGGTGGTGGCCTCCAGCCACCTCGCGACCACCGGCATCGCCACGTCGTGCGGGGAGCAGCCGATTAAGGGGCTGCTTGACCCCGCAGCCATGGCCAGGCTCACGGTGGCGGAGTCTCTCACCAACATCATGTGGGCCAAGGCGAGTTTTTGTTTTGTGATGCGCTTCGTTTTGTTAGTTCCGGGCAAATTCGTTGCGGTTGCCAACGCTATGTTGGCCGTTTTGTGCTCCGTACTTGATACATGCTGTGCTTTTCGTTGTCTGCAGGCTGTGCTGTAGTTTTGTTGTGGGCCAATGCGAGTTTTTTTGCTCGCTTCGTATTGCTTGTTGATGTTGTTGCTGTTGTTGCTGTTGATGGTGTTGGTGGTGTCTCCACGTTGCTTGCTTGTCGTTATTTACTGGCTACAGAAGTATTGCCATGAGCGCGAGGCTTGTCCTGTCGTCGTTTGCTGTCTTGCTTGTGTTTGTTTTTCGCTGACGTAATATACATGAATTGACTGCTGGCTTTCGCAGGGCGTGTTTAGTAGCGTGCAGAGGTCGTTGTCCAGCTGCTGCTAGCAGCAGCACTCGTGTTTTGTGGTTTTCTTTGCGGTGCATGCCGGTGGCAGGCAGCCTCGTCAAGTCTCTTTCGGTGTAGCGTAGTATACCATATTCCACAAGTGCCATTTTCGAAATAGGACGTCGGTTCTGCACAGGAGCGAGCGTTCTCACAACCTTGTCGTGCGATGCGTTGTCTTTCGTTCGTCTTCTCCCCCCGCGACGGCGGCGATAGCTCACCTCCCTGGGAGACATCAAGGCCAGCGGCAACTGGATGTGGGCTGCCAAGCTACCCGGAGAGTGCGCCAGGATGTGGAAGGCGTGCGTGGCACTGCGCCAGGTGAGCGGTAAGGACCGGTCAGTCCCACTTTTAACGTTTCAAGACGCGGAGCAGCCGGTCCGCCCGCCCGCTTGTGAGCTCTCATTGGGAGAGTCGGTTGTTCGCAAAGCTTTGAACATGTCGGGAAGTTATTGCACCAGCGGTGTCGTTGGTCACGCTCCACGCAGGATAGTGGTGTGGCGGGTGCACCATGAGAGCACATTCCATTTCATCCCGCGTGGTCCACCTTCATGAAGTAAATGAAAAAATTGACTAGAGGAACGAGATGTTGATCTGGCAGCCGACATAACCGATTCAGACTATCGCCCGTCTGTGTGTCTGTGTGTGTTTGTCATATCTGGGTCTGTTTATTTGCATCGACCGCACTAACTGACTGACCAATGAAAAGACGCCAAGTGCTTGTATTTTTGTGTGTGTGTTTTTTTTGTGTACCTGACAGGCGCTGCTAGACTGCGGCGTCGGCATCGACGGCGGGAAGGACTCGCTGTCCATGGCCGCCAGGTGCGGGGACGAGCTCGTCAAGTCCCCGGGGACTCTGGTCATGACGGTACGTACCGCACCGTACGTGCTTTCACGGGGGCGGTTCCCTGGGGGGAAAAGGGTTTCTTTCGATCGAAATGTCGGTGCTCCCTCGGGGGAAAAAGGGATTTGATCGAAAGTGGCGTGTTGCGCGCTGACCCGTGGTGGTCGTGACGCAACCCGTTTCTGGAGTTCGGGAACCCGGTGATGGCGGTATGTTCCGTGGTATCGCCTTTGGAGGTATGCATATGTTGCTTGAACCTGGATCTATCTCCTTGGTCGCGAAGAGCAAGCGGAATGGTGCACTACCCGGGATGTGCATTCCTTGCGTCACGGCTTGAACCTTGGTGGCGACAGTTTTAACCCGTCAGATAACCCGTGAGATGCTCCCGCCCGTTGTACATGAACGCGCTTGAATGGCGGAAAAACCTATGTGCTGCTGATCGGCGTGCCAGGATAGGTTCTTTTGGCCAAAGCGCAAGTATTTACGCTTCGTTCTGGGACGAGATTTCGGCCTGTTGCCCTTGGCCTTCGGGGGCAAACCGCTGCTGCCGTGTTAAACGTTTCCGGGCATCCAATCGAATAAGAAAAACGCAAGGTCATTTTGCAAGAGCATGTGGCAGCAATGCACGGAGTATCGTGGTGAGGTCTCCGTGTTCCGGTCGCTCCAAAGTTTCTGTGATGCGTTCAACCGGCGTTACCGCAGCGGGCTTATGCCATCTCGAAGTCCCTTGTGTGCCCCCCGCCCCCTCGGCGAGCCCCTTTTTTATTGAGCTCTTTGTCGTCTGTATTGTCTTATCGATGTTATATGGCATTTGTGTTGATGTTCTGTGACTGCCGTGTATTTTTCACGCAGCTGTACTGCACGTGCGACGACATCACAAAGACCGTAACGCCGGACTTGAAGCTCAAGAGCACGGGACGGCTGGTCTACATCGACCTGGGGGGCGGCAAGGCCAGGGTCGGCGGAAGTTGCCTCGCACAGGTAAGGCATGGAATTTTTCGAAGAAAGCGAAGGTCACGATTTCTGCTATGTAGCGGAGGAGTTTGGGGGGAACGAGAGGGGCGCGAGGGGAGCGGGCAAAGGGAGAACGGGGGGTACTGTAGCAGTTTGTAGCTCCCCTCCCCTTCGTCCTCCGAGGATGCGTGTCCAATGGTCTAACAAGTTTTGCACGCAAAGCATGAGAGTACGCCGTCCCCCCGCCCCGCATTAGCCTAGAGCAAGCAAGCATTTGTATTGTAGGCAGAAGTTCCCTGCTGCATGTCCCTTTTGTATTCACGCACATCCCAACACGCAACATCCCTTTTCAAGTCTACCTTTCGCGGCGGCGTGCTGCGTGCTGTGCTGTGGTAAAATCGTTCAGGTTTATGGGCAGCTGGGCGAAACGCCTCCCGACGTGGAGGACTTCAAGCCGCTGGTGGCCGCCTTCAAGGCTACTCAGGGCCTTCTCGGCAGGTGCAAGCCGTGTACTTGTGTGTGTGTGTGTGTGTGTGTCTGCGTGCGTATGTGTGCTGCAGGCCACCGCCCTCATCCCGCAACGTATGTCTGTAGTGTTCATCGCTCTGCATGTGTCAGTACCGTTGTGTCCCTTCGTGTCCTCCTCGTCCACCAGCCGAGTATCTCCATCTCACGCCGGTGATGTACCGTGCCCGCCAACGTCCCTCCTCCGGCCTTTGCACACACACCGTCTTGTCTTTTTTGTCGATGCAGTCTTTGTGGTACGATTTTCTCCGGTATGCTGCTTTGTTTTCGTTGTGGAAGATATTTGGTCCACCGGCGGCAGGATTCCTCCGAATACACACGACGACGGCAGAGTCGTGAGTGAACGGCAACCACAACACCCAACTCTCTAACCCCTTCCTGTTTCATCTCTCTCTCTCTCTCTCCCTCTCTCTCTCTGTCTTTCTCTCTCATCTCTCTCTCATTCTCTCTCATCTCACCCTCTTCCTCTTTGACTCTTGCTCTCTCTCTTTCTCTCTCTCTCCCTCTCTCTCTCTCTCTCTCTCTCTCTCTCTCTCTCTCTCTCTCTTGTGTTTCTCCGTCGCCACTGTTTCTGACACAATACAACTCGCGTGACGGGTGGGGTTTTTGACGGGCGTTTCATTTTATTTTTTTTCCAGTGGCGCGATCTCTGCGGGGCACGACCGCAGCGACGGAGGGCTGGCGTCCCTTCTCCTGGAGATGGCCTTCGCGGGCGAGGTCGGGTGCGGCCTTGAGGTCGACGTGCCCGCCGTGGCCGGCGGCGAGGGTGGGGTGCTGGACGCGCTCTTCAGCGAGGAGGTGGGTCATGTGTATGCCTTCCTCCTTTCTCTTTGTAATGTTTTTGGTGGGGTCATCGTCATCGTCGTTGTCGTCGTCGTCGTTGTGGTTGTTGGTGGTGGTGTTGCTGCTGCTGTTGCCTCTGCTGTTGTTGTTTTGAAGCCGGCGGTGTTGTCGGTGTTGGTGCTCTAATAGTGCTGGAGACCTTTGGTTGCTGTTGAAGTTGCTGTTGACATCGTTGCTGTTGAAGTCAGGTGTACTTGTATGCCGTCTTCGGGGGAGGAACTGCCCAACAGACCAACTACAGCAGTCGTGCTGCACATACACCGGGCCTGCTTGCTCGATCGAGACAAGTTCCTTATTAGCCGCATGTGGAGTACCTTTCGTCGGCAGTTGTGCCGTCGCGGCCGTGGCCCCCTCAGGTAACGATCGTCAATCAGCTTGTTTGCTGTCTCACCTTGAATCGCCGACATGGGAACGTACGGCAGCAGAACCTGAACTTCTGACTATTCTATGTGCTGTGTGCTGCTTTGGCCTCGTTCCTGTAGGTGGGTTTCGTGGTGGAGGTGTCCGAGGAGCGTCTGTCGGAGGTGATGGAGGCCTACAAGACCGCCGGGATCAACGCCGTCGACATCGGCAGGGTCACCGACGACGGGAAGGTAACCATATACCCATGCCTATCACGGGAGCTGCTTCAAAAGTGCTGCGCGCAGCAGATAGGTTGGGCTGAAGAAAGGGCGGCGGAGCGGTTTTCAATGTTGTAGTTCTTGAAACCGACACCAATACCCCGTTCGTTCGCCTCCCAAGAAGGGGAGCGGCTCGCGGTTTCGCTTGCTTCGTTCGGAAGCCCCCCCCCTCGTTTTTTTCCATCGGGATTGGGTTTTCGTCGCTTGGCAACGACGTTGTAAAACACGCCAATTCACTTCGTGAACTCGGCAACCAGGGTACCGTTGTTGTTTTTTTTACCTCTGTTTTTGTTTTGGCGGTAACCATGAATGGTGGTGTAGTAGATCATGTTGTGCGGGGTGGAGAACCCTCACTCCGCGCAAGGGGGATGATCGCACCACTTTGTGTTAAAATGGTCAAGCATCCTCGAGGCAGTTACACAGTGCTTACAACTGTCTCTGGATGTGAGAACACCAAAAAAAAATTAAGTCATACGCAGCTGTCATCCGTATGCAAGGAAGTAAACACAAGATGCCGAATACCCTCAGCAGGATGCCGCGCACCCTTCATGCAACTCGCCGAATACCTCACGGCGCTTAGCGCTTGGTGATGTGAGAGCCTGGTCCGGTGAGAACCCGGGTGCTCCGTCCCGGCTTTCTAGAGATGCGAGGTCAATGGTCTAACGACTACGGCATGCACGACTATGAGTACNTTGGATATGGTCAGGGCCTCGAACTCGAAGGCTACCTTGTGTGTTGACACCGTTTGTAAGCTCCCCGCCAAACCTGTCTTTACGTCACGTAGCCCTCATTTTCTCGAAACGTCCGTGGTGTGGAGCGGTGTGGGGTAACGTTCTGGGACATGACATGGTACTGCGTGGCGTTGTTGCTTGCTTGTTTGCCTTGTCTGGTGTCGAAGGTCTCGATCAAGGTCGGAGGAGAGGAGGGCATCGAGGGGACCACCTCTGGGCTGCGGGACGTGTGGGAGGCCACGTCGTTCCAGCTCGAGCGCCTGCAGTGCGACCCGTCCTGCGTGGAACAAGAGGCGAGATTTGCACAGAAGACCAGACAGCTTCTACTGTAACAGCAGCAGTGTGCACGCACCTATCGCTTCCGACGGCCAGTTCAGTTTGTCTGTCCTGAGCTGAATTCCTAACGGTTGTTTCGAAGATAGGCCTGCCCCCGTTCGAGGAGGCGTGTGCCGTATTAGTCACGTTTGCCTTGTTCAAAACGGAATTCGCGGAGCTTATTTGCACGCGGCGAGACTGGGGCTGTCTTTTGGTGTGTTTCAAGCGCTGGCCTGCGAGACACCCATCGCCTTTCCTCGAATCGAGAGTCAGGGGCAGCAGCACGGGTCGAGTCTGGTTGACTCTTTCGCACGTTTCGGACACCTGGCGCCGTTGTTCACAATATCCGGTCTTGTAGTTGCGGCAGGGAGAACAAGCCTACTAGTATGGCATTTTCAGCGGCAGTTCCTTCTCGCCTTTGGGTCGGAAGCGCACGTCAGCCACACGGCAAAACAGTAGCCGTAACGATGAGTGTGTACCGCGTATTCCGGGAGGGTGTGTGTTGTGTGCGTGTGTACATGGATGAGTTGTCTATGAGGCGTCGGGCGGGTTTGGGATGCGTCTCTACCTCGCCCCAAAAACTGCAATCACGCAACAGCGGTGTTTTGTTACGTATGGTGTTTGCTGATTCTTCCAGGAATCTTCCATGGCCGGCCGCACGGGGCCCGACTACAAGCTCACCTTCGCCCCGGAGGTCACCCCTGCGGCGTGGAAAGACACTGCGGTATGAGGGGAGGGAGGGCGCACGTTTTGCGGGGGGGGGATGGGTACTAGTCTAATGTACATGCATGCCGTAGTCGTCAGATCATTGACCTCGCGTCCTTCCAATGCCGGGACGGAGCGATGTGCCGGGTTTTCGCCGTCCCAGCTACGTTTCACAAGAGGGTGGACTAGTCTTCTGGGGAGTATTGGTCTCGTTTTCGCGCCCGGCAAACGATGGTGGTATTTTGGATTTCAATTTCCTTAAAGCCGATCAGCAGCAGCCATGATAGCGTGGCTAGTCGGACGACAGACCACCGGCCTTGGGTTGTCTCGGTAACATGCACGGCGTGTCGGGCGTCGTTCGACCCGGACCGCCTTCGCGAGCATAGTAAGCGTTGCCGTATGGTACACGTAAAATAGAGGGGGGAAGTACGTAACCCTTACCCCAAACCCAATCCCGTACCCCCCACTAAAATCAAGCTTGATACCCTCGCAAAGGCTTCCGGCCCGTAATGCTTTCTTCTCCTACCTCGTCCAGCTCGCTCCTTGGTTACGGATACATGTTAAATAGAGAGGGGAAGTTCGCATCCTGACCCTAACCCCAAACCCAAACCTGTAACCCCAACTTTAACCAAGATGAATACCCTCGCGAATGCTACTGTTCGACCCGGGCTGTTAACGAGGTTGCCTTCCCCTCTTCCTCGGTTTGGTTTGGTTTCGATTGTTCTCGTGTGGTGTGGAGGACTGACGCTGCGGTCCGCGCTGGTGCCTATGCTTTCCTGACGCTCCACGCCTGGTGTTGGTTTCATTGTTTCCGATTTTTTTTCTCCGCAGCGGCCCAAGGTGTGCGTGCTGCGGCAGGAGGGAAGCAACGGCGACAGGGAGATGCTGTCGGCCTTCCACGAGGCGGGGCTAGAGGCCTGGGACGTCAACATGAACGACCTTCTCCAAGGTGTTTCAAACAACCTGCCTGTTGTTGGCTTGGCGCAGTTGTTTTTGTTGGGGGCTGATTTGGACGAGGTCGGGTGTGTTTGGTTGTTGCATGGGGCCCTCCTCCTCCGGGGTGTAATTCGATGCGATGAACATGTCGCGCTCGTATCTCGAAGGGCCTGGTCACGCTGACAGACAGCTAAGTCGTGGTACCGCGATGCCAGATACGACACGAACCTATCCCCGCACGCTCACCGCAAGACACATCACATACGCCCCGCCCACCGCCCCTACCGCCCCCCTTTCCGAGACCCCCCGTCGTTCCTAACGTGCATTGTAGGGGGGCGGATATATATATATATATATATTTTCACCCCTTACTCGCGTGTCGGGCTTTTGCTTCTTACTTGGCCTGCAGGCACCATCACCCTGGATGCCTTCCAGGGGGTGGTGTTCGTGGGCGGCTTCAGCTACGCCGACGTGCTGGACTCGGCGAAGGGCTGGGCCGCCACCATCAAGTTCAACCCGAAGGTTGGTCTATGGTGTGCTGTTGTTGTTCCTTGCGGGTTGACCGTTTACGTCTGTGTTTTGGAGTAGTGTATTCAGTCGTCCTCGCCATCGTCGTATGTCCTGGTGTGTATGGGACGACGCCCCCCGCAAAAACAAGGCGTATCTTGTCGTTGGTTGAAAGTTGTGGGATCGCCCGTATTGCGAACCCGCCGATCGTGTTCGATCGACAATTCACCAACGTATGAGCCGTGTCGCTATCGAGCGATAAATCCGCCCGGGCGGTGTGGTATCGCACACCACTGCTCGGAGGAGGGGATTCATATGGTCGTTGTATTCCCGAACAGAGTGGGCGCATGGTTAACGGCCTCCTGGCCCGGGGTTGGTGTGAGAGCAGCGCCAAGCGTGAAAAGTCGGAATGCCCTCCCTTGCCCTCTCTGTCGACCCCCCATCCGCAACCCATGTCCTCTCATCCGACAAAGGTGTGGGAGCAGTTCCAGGCGTTCAAGGCTAGGAGCGACACGTTCTCCCTGGGCGTTTGCAACGGCTGCCAGCTCATGGCCCTGCTCGGTTGGATCCCCAAGGTTTGGCATGTGGCTTGCAATGACGGCTCCCGAGTACAGCAGCAGAGGTCACTGTGTAGTGCGCGGGTGTGTGTGCGCCAAGCGATTCTTCCCGCCTTTTAATCGGCACACCGGAGCACGGGACGATTTGGTTGTCCCACTGGTGAGAGCTCCGTTTCACCCGTACTACACCGGGCGCCAGCACTTTGTCACCCGCCATATATTCTGGGACCTCTACTGTACAGGGCCTACTTGGTCGGTCAGCACGTGCTCGTTCCGGTCCAGCCTGACCGCGGCACCGGGGACTGTGGAGTGTTACCTCCTTGAGGATCGAATGGATACTGTAGCCTGTCAAAGAGTGGTCATAATGCAATCATCCTATTCACATACCAGAGTTTTAATTTTTTTCTTCGTTTCTTTCTTTAATTTTACAACCTTGAGCGCCTGTGTCGCCACTCATCTTACTTGTTGTCTCGCGTCCGAAAGTATGCCACGCGGCATGTTTGCTCTTACGCTGGATTCGCATGAGCGACGTTATCGAAGCGTGATGCTGTTTCTGGCAGACCGTCGTCCTTTGTCGCCTGTCAAGTTGTACTGACGGCTGTTCCCGATTTTGTCCTTTGGGGAAACTCAGACGCGTCGCCAGAGCGGGCTATGCACTTGTTGTCGTGCTTGTGGCCGGTACTTTGTTGGTCTACATGGTAGGAAAACACTCATCAGTAGAGTATAGAGCCTTGTTGTTTAGTGTTACCGTCTTCCCCTGCAATTCAAGGCGTCCCGGCTGGTCTAGCGTGCCCGTCTTGCCCTACGATTCAACGCGCCCCCGCTGCTTGTTTTCTCCTGCGCTCTTGCCACTCTCGCGGTGTCGCTGGGATGTTGTTGCCGTGTAGACGGAAGGGATGGCGGCCGAGCAGCAGCCGCGGTTCGTGCACAACACCAGTGGCCGCTTCGAGAGCCGTTGGTCTACCGTAAAGGTTGGTCAGTGCGTGCCGTCTAGACACGCACTGGTGTTGGTCCTGGTAGAGAGCCGTTCTGAAATCTTGGTGTTCACGTGTTAATCGTTGATTTTCACGCCTCTGTATATATTCATCAACCGATTTCTTGGCACAAAGACTAACCAATTCGAAACAAGTGCCAAGGGTCGAAGTTATTTTCCGGCGATAATTAGGGGGCTAAGTATGTCGAGACAATCCATGGAGAGGTGGGATGGAGCCGGTCGTCGTGAACGTATACTATGTCGCTCGAACTTGACACGCGTGGTGGCTGCTCTCGATCATGCCATGCCGCGGCGAACAACAGACGGCGAGCGTCTACTACTACTGTACACGTC